CCCCCCAGACTCCCCAGGACCCCCCAAGACCCCTCCAGGACCCCCCCCGGACCCTCCAGAACCCCTCCAGGACTCCCCAAGACCCCCCCAGGACCCCCTGGACCCCCACGGGCCCCCCCAGACCCACCCTCATGGCATCCAGGGCCCCCCTGAGCCGCTCCCTCTCCGCCGGCTCCGGGGTCAACTTCACCAGCTCCTGGGGGGGGGGTGTCAGGTGAAGGGGCCCAGGTGTGTCCCCCGACAGGTCTGGGGACCCCCAAGGCACCCAGGAAACCCCCCAAAGGGACCCAGGTGTGTCCCAGGTGTGTCCCCCCTCTCCAGGTGTGTCCCAGCTGTCCCCAGGTGTCCCCAGATGTCCCCAGGTGTCCCCAGGTGTGTCCCAGGTGTCCCCACGTGTGTCCCAGGTGTATCCCAGCTGTCCCCAGGTGTGTCCCAGGTGTGTCCAAGGTGTGTCCCAGGTGTGCCCAGGTATCCCCAGGTGTGTCCCCAGGTGTGTCCCAGGTGAGTCCCAGCTGTGTCCCAGGTGTCCCCAGGTGTCTCCAGGTGTGTTCCAAGTGTCCCAAATGTGTCCCAGGTGTGTCCCAGGTGTGTCCCAGGTGTGTCCCAGGTGTGTCCCAGGTATCCCCAGGTGTGTCCCAGCTGTCTCAGGTATATCCCAGCTGTCCCAGGTGTCCCCAGCTGTCCAGAGGTATCCCAGGTGTGGCCCCAAGTATGTCCCAGGTGCCCCCCCAGGTGCCCCCCAGCGCACCTGGAGCAGCAGGTGGTACTTGAGCACCCTCTGCATGGGCACCATCAGCAGGTCCCGCAGCGAGAACCGCCCGTTGTTGGCCCGTTGGGAACATTCCTGGGGGGCACAGGGGGGTCAGGGGGGATCACAGGGGGGGTCACAGGGGTCGGGGGAGTCTTTTGGGATCAGGGATGGGGTCAGTGGAGGTCACTGGGGTCAGGAGGTCATTGGGGTCATGTAGGGGTCGCTGGGGGTCATTGGGGTCATGGAGGGGTCAGTGGGGGTCACTGGAGTCAGCAGGGGCCATTAGGGTCAGTGGGGGTCACTGGGGCCATGGAGAGGTCAGTGGGGGTCACTGGGGGTCATTGGGGTCAGGGGGTCATTGGGGGTCACTGGGATCAGGGGTGTCACTGGGGCCAGGTGGTCATTGGGGTCATAGGGGGTCATTGGGGTCGGGGGGGTCTTTTGGGTTCAGGGATGGAGTCAGTGGGGGTCACTGGGGTCAGGAGGTCATTGGGGTCATGGAGGGGTCAGTGGGGGTCACTAGGGTCAGCGGGGGTCATTGGGGTCAGGGAGGTCACTGGGGTCAAGGGGTCACTGGGGTCATGGGGGGTCATTGGGGTTGGGGGGGTCTTTCGGGTTCAGGGATGGAGTCAGTGGGGGTCACTGGGGTCAGGAGGTCATTGGGGTCATGGAGGGGTCAGTGGGGGTCACTAGGGTCAGTGGGGGTCATTGGAGTCAGTGGGGGTCATTGGGGCCATGGAGGGGTCAGTGGGGGTCATTAGGGTCAGGGGGTCATTGGGGTCAGGGGGTCATTGGGGGTCACTGGGGTCAGGGAGGTCACTGGAGTCAGGGGGTCATTGGGGTCATGGACGGGGTCAGTGGGGGTCACAGGGGAGTCGTGGGGATTGGGAGGGGTTGGGGGGAAATTGGGGGTCACAGGGGAGGTCCGGGGGGGGGGGGCCAGGTGCCCACCTGGAGCTTCATGCGCAGGTCGGTGCAGGTGGAGAGTTGGTCCAGGCGTCGCGCGGCCGCTTCCACCTGACTGCAGTACCGGCCATAGAGCAGGAACCTGGCACCAAATCACCCCAAATCACCCCAAAATACACCCCAAATCCACCCCAAATCCACCTGACTGCAG